AATTTCATGAGTACTAAAGTAAGAACTCTTCAATATTTTTGCTAAGCACAGTAATTCAATAAACATTTGCTAAATCACAGTAGGATAAATTTGTTATACTTGATTTTAAAACAGTCACTAAAGTGAGATACACAAACAATGAAACAGAACAGGTAAAAACCAATCTCAATTTAAACTCCTGGCAACATAATTGCCTTTAAATATCTAATACTCTTTTTTCTAAACTTATCTCGGCTTTCACACTTTTGGGGAAAATATTTGGAGAGAATATTTGAAATATATATACATTTGAAGTACACATATACTGACTTTCTCTTATACCCATAACCCCAACAGCGAGGGTTTTTTTCAAAGTATAATGGTTACAGGCCAATTATCTTCTGTCTTTTGGTCTCATGTGAACTGTCATCAAATAGCCTGTTGTTAACTAGCACAGATTATTTCATCCAGTTATCCCTGCTTTTCTTTTAGCATGAAGAGAGAGAAAATGCTATAAACACACTTCTTCTCTAACAGTCAACACTAAAGGAAGTTCTAAGTGCACGTTTCCCTTAAACTTTATTCTCACACCCAAATGAGCATATTGACTTTAAAACCAATTTCTAAAGACATGTAAAGGACATTTCTAGGCCCTCAAATGAAGGTAGAATAGATATCCCCTTCAATTGCCCCTTAGGATGTCTGTTCACCTGTTCATAATGTAAATTACTTTATTTCATATCTTAAAAACTTCTTGGATAATCAGATAAGTGTGCAAGTAGGACATGCGCATATCTGAGAATTCTTTTGGTATACTGACATTTATATATTCTTATATACCATTAAGAATATGAGACTTCTTCTCTGCTTAAAAACCTGCCATGGGGAAAGAAAAGCTGTACCCATATTCTCTTTTTTTTTTTTTAAATTTTTTTTTTCAACGTTTATTTATTTTTGGGACAGAGAGAGACAGAGCATGAACAGGCGAGGGGCAGAGAGAGAGGGAGACACAGAATCGGAAACAGGCTCCAGGCTCTGAGCCATCAGCCCAGAGCCTGACGTGGGGCTCGAACTCACGGACCGCGAGATCGTGACCTGGCTGAAGTCGGACGCTTAACCGACTGCGCCACCCAGGCGCCCCTGTACCCATATTCTCAAAAACAAAGTCTTAATTCTAGAACAGCCCCAAAGGCCTAGGTTTCCAGTGTCACTGTGAAGGTCTTATTCTCTGTGTTCCCCTCACACCAATTCACATGCTACCACTGAACACAAATGTCTCTGTTCCTTTCCATATGTCCCCTCTGCCCCCACTTAGAGCATTCTTTCCTAATGATCCCACACACTCTCTTTGAGCATTACCTCCTTTTGAGAACCTCAGGGTTCTCAGACACCATTAAATGGTTTTAGCCATTATATATATACTTACTTACTTATTTACTTACTTACTTACACATTACTTACAACACTACAGCATAATTCTTAGTTAAACTGTTTTTCCAATTAAAAAAAAAAACCTGTAAAGGGGCACCTGGGTGGCTCAGTCGGTTAAGCATCTGACTTCAGCTCAGGTCATGATCTCACGGCTGGTGAGTTCGAGCCCCGCGTTGGGCTCTGTGCTGACATCTCAGAGCCTAGAGCCTACTTCATGTTCTATGTCTCCCTCTCTCTCTGCCCCTCCCCCGCTCATGCTGTCTCTCTCTGTCTCTCAAAAATAAATAAACATTAAAAAATTTTTTTAAAAAACCTGTAAATTAATGAGAAGCACCTTCATATGAGTGTCTTGTACATAACCTAAAACATAGTTGCTACTTAACAAATTATTTTTGAAAAAAAAACAAAGAATGTGTGATTTTCATCTACCTTTTACTCAACCAGTCAATAGATTTAAAAATAATTTAACAAACTGGAAGCTTGGAGCAACATTTATGTGGCTTATCAAAATTCTATACAGTTCAAAATTAAAGCCTGCAACTCAAACATTTAAGTCTCCATACGCTACTGAGACCCAAAATGCACTAAGTCACTATGTACTACTTGGCATTTCAGGATACATTCTCTTATCTGACCATATACTTCCTTATGTCAACTCTGGGCCCAAAATGATAAAGACATAAGACTTTCAAGAACTATTTAATCTTACTGGAGTGGAGGATGCAACTGATGTCCCGTTCTTAAAAGAACTGTGTCCATTTAATGTCAAATAATGAATCTGAAATAAGAAAAAAATTCAGGAAGTGTTCTTCTTAACTACAGCCATACCAACACTTTCTCCAAATTTTTTATTTAGTTTTTTTTTTGGGGGGGGGTATTTTTTCTTCACCATATAAATACATTCTATCTCTATGTCATTTCACTCCGAATTTGTTGATATCTCAGTTTCTAGGCCATGTTTTCATGAATGGAAAATAACTATCTCCCAGTCTTTATTAGATTTTGAAGGTGTGTTCTTTATCTCAATGTTTTATCTCCTGAGAAACTATGCTTGAATGCAGGCTGAGTGGCTTTAATTTCATTTCAGAAAAGGGCAAGAAGAAAGTGCTCTCTCTAAACCAAACTTTCAGATTTACAGGTAAGCATCACTCTTGCTGGTATTTCTGAATTATAAAAGAGAAGCACAATTCTCTCTACAATAATAACTGGTAAACAAAATCATAAATATTTTTCTACATTTTCATTCCCAATTCTATTGGCTTGGCTCCTATTACAGGTAATGCTTCTCATATTGATTGTTATAGCACTATTTTGGCTGCCTTTAAAACATCACATGAACACTGAACAAAAGAACCAGTTAAATATGCCATTGATATTATGCCATTTCTATAAGCACCATGAATTGAGGTCAAATGGGGAATGGGACACCGCTAAGAAGTCGCCAACAGAACTGCATCAAAATCAGAATTCAGCCTCAACATCCAGCGTATACAAGAAACTAGGAGGCCCTTGGGGGAGAATTAGCATTTTTCTTTTTCACTCCAGAATCTAGATTTGATTTCATTCTATTACATAAGAGATCCATGGAAATGGGTCTTGGTTTTGGGATTGGTGATTTTTTGTTGTTGTTTATTTTGGTGTGGTTTTGTTTGTTTGTTTGTTTGTTTGTTTTTATTCATTGGTGGTTGTGATGTTTTCCCCAGGGTTGTGTTCCCCTAAGATCAGGTTCTTGAAATGCAGAGCAGCTAACTCACAGCAGATGGTGGGATTTTGTAGGGAAGAAAAGTCAAGCGATTTCAGTCCAAAAATTGAACAGAGTATCCTACAGTTTAAGGAAAAATCAACCTGTGGGAAAGTCAATTGTCATTGAGAAAAGAGTTCTCAAAATCAATGCTATTAAAGTTCCTTTTCCCTCTACAATCTAACATAAAAAAAAAAAAAAAAAAAAAAAAAAAAAAAAAAAACACACACAAAAAAAACCCAAAAAATGTGATGTTCACAGAAACTGATGCAAAAACTGTCACCAATTTTGGCCTTTATTATTGCATTAGCAGAAAAGGTTAAAAATACTTAAATTTGCCCTCTTTAATTGGGCAAACACACTCACTGGTCCATTACAATAGCAATTCACTTATTATCTTGTGTTTAACTTGAACCAAGAAGAAATTCTTTTGTTGCCAGAGGTCTCAAGGTATATCTATAAATGATAACAGTAGGAAATTAAGGCATTTATGAGAAAGGAAAGTAATAGCTGACCAATCTCTCTCATTCACTTCTATGCAAAAGCAAAAGAAAGCCTTTGTTAATGACTACCAAGGTAAGTAGTAAGCTATACCACGTCTTTAATGCACTTGCTGACACTCGAAAACCCTAGTACTATAGACAACAGTAAAGACAAGAAACGAGAAGGTGGAACAAAAAAAATTACCAAGGTCTTAAAGAATATTCTAGAGCTCTTTCTCTAAATTCTGTTCGTCCAAAGTCAGAAAAGTAAGCATAGTCACGTTCTACCCTGGAACAGAAAGTGTGTAAATTGTCACTTTCCAAATGTGACATTAGATAAGGAAGAAAATTTAATTACTGTTTTTAAAATAACTCTAGCTCTGTAAATGTGACACTGTAATTTTAATTGTTGAAGCAAACTCTAATGATTCTGTTAAGATGATCCCTCTATAACTGAGAAGTTAAATTATCCAAGGTTATGGTCAGAGATGCCTCTGGAATGTTGAGAGACCATGTCACACACAAAAAAGTACCTGGTATGAAAAGCTTTATGGGGTAAAATAGATGCATTTCCATACCAAGAAAGCATGCATCTTGCCTTCTACAGTAGGGAATTTATGTGCACACTCAAGGAAACATTCCCACCTCGACTACTTCTGCAAAGAGAACTGCCATGTCCTCCAATGTGGCTGCGATGCCACACATTCTTCTAGAGTGGAAGCATTCCTGCTCACTTTTGGCGTTTCAGCCAATGGACTGAAATAAACCTGGGCTGGTTTTTCAGTCCCTATATGTAATCACTGTCTCGAACTCTAAAACAAATGGGGTACTGCTAAGGTTGTGCATGCCTGTCAGAGAGTCTACTATGGAGAAGACTGTTTTCCCTCCTCCTCTGTCTCCTTCTCATTTTCACATTATTTAAAATATGCCAGTAAAATAGTGGATCCATGACATTTGAAAGCGATAGGCCTGTAGAAACTCCCACATCCACAAATTCACCCAAACAGCACTCTTGGGAGGAAAACGAAAAAAGAATGCTACTAATTCATGACTGATTACTCACTCCAACCTACCAGCCCCCTAGCTTATAGCAATTCATTTTTGCTACAGCTCTTAGGTATATGCTCTCATTTAATTTTCACAATGATCCTTTGAGGCTGAAGTTATTATTATTGCTATTATTTCTAACTATTGCCAATTATTACAAGTAGCAGAACCTAGCACTGGTTTGCAAATTCTCAACAAAACAAATACTAAACCTGTGAGTGCTGAGGGTCCATTATGTCAAGAACAATATGCAGAGATAGCTTTAAAGTTGATTCCCTTCCAGTCAGCTGCACCATCTGTCCCTGGAACTGGCTGCCTACCTTCCTTGGCCCTCTGTGCAGTGGACGCTGGCGTGCTCTGGGCACAGTACACCTCCCGGGTCTGGATCCCACCTCCACAAACGGGTCCCGTCACATGCCAGTAGGGGTCCTGCTGCTCGAGGAGAAGAGAGACTTGGCATTCTTTCCATTCAGAGGTCCTCCAGGAATACCTGTTTGGTTTGATTTATTTAAAAGAAGAAGAAGTAAGGAAAATATAATATTCTAAAGAAAACTTAAGTCACAATATCATATGCATGTAATAATCGTTCTAGAGCCAAATCTTCACCTATAGATAAAAAAAAAAGTCAAATGGCTTTGTTTGTTTGTTTGTTTGTTTTTAAAGTCAATTGGTTTTGATACTAAATCCCTTTTATTTCCTAGGAGCAAAAAATCACAGCAGCCTCTCCTGATGGCAGTATGGAATAAGAGGAGTGAAGAAAGGAAATGTGGATACACAGGGGATGTGCCTCATCCCAGGTACTATAAGAGAGTGAAGAATCAGACGAAGGATGTGAAAACCCAATGAGCCTGTTCCATAGCAGCCGAACTTTTCATGGGATAACACTTCACAAACTTCTGGATGACTATGTGGAAGTTGGCCTTTTAAAGATAGTAGAGTAGTGTGTGAATGTGTGGAGTTGGGGATATATGATTTTAAATGGATAGGGATGACCAACTTTTCAACCTTTTTGATACAGGACAGTATTTCAACTTGTTTGACCCCATTAGCATAAAGATATACATACTAAAAATGAGTTATCAGTGTGGCCACTACATTTAACTGATGAGTGTTTTATATATGCAGACATGCTGTTATTTAAACTGACTTAATAATATATTCTTCCTGTTTTATAACTGGTTAAGATACATACTAATAGACACACATACATACACATGCACGCACACATACAGATATGGGGAGGAAACCCAATGGAGTTTGAACACAACTTGCAGAAAACAAACAATTGTAACAGCACTGCACTCAGACCTGGAGAATTATTTCAGACAGAATTTCCTTTTGTGGGTTATTACAACATTCTTCAAGCTCACATCATTAATAGAACCCTATATCATTCACATAAATACCAATAGACTCATTAACTTCTAGAACAATAAACAAAACCTAAGAACATTCTTGTAACTGCTGTCCCATTTCAGATTTGAGGAAAAATTTCTCAGCATTGTGACTGCTTAAAAGGAAAAAAAAGCGATAAAAATGAGTGTGTGTCACCCAAACACTGGCCTTACAGAGACTAGAGTAAAATAGAAGTCAAGTCACAGACATCAAAATAACAAAGCAAATCTCTCAGAAACCTAATAATGACCACACCCCTTCACAATGAATGTCATAATTCTAAAAAAGCTTGAAAACCTGACAGTCATGAAGTCTTATAATTAAACATTTTTAATGTTTATTTATTTTTGAGAGAGAGAGTTCAAGAGGGGGAGAGGCAGAGAGAGAGAGAGACATGCACACACACACACACACACACACACACACACACACACGATCTGAAGCAGGCTCCAGGCTCTGAGCTGTCAGTGCAGAGTCCAATGCTGGGCTCAAACCGTGAGATCATGATCTGAGCCAAAGTCAGACGCTTAATCGACTGAGCCACCCAGGAGCCCCTCATGAAGTCTTATAAAAAGTGCATTGTAGGAAAAGAATTTGGACAATCCTGGGGAGTTCACTGTGACACAATTCTTCTCCCTCTGCCTCCCCACTTCATTTTCACATGGTTCTCCCAGGCAAAAAAATAAGTCAGTAGGCTGGGCAAGACTTTGGGTGCACAGTGCAGATTCTGCTTATGCACACGATACAGACAATAACCTGTTTCCAATTCCTGGGAGTGATAGACTGAGAAAAGTTTGATTATTTCCAAAGGAGGTCTTCTCCAGAGGTGAACTTCTGAAGCCTGTTCTCCTCACTCAAAGTTCTCACCCTGTTCTCCGTGTTCACTCAAGCAGAAAGCTTCTCCCTCATGCCCCTGAGTCCAGGGAAGATGGCTCTGTATTCCAGGGCAAAATGCAATGAGGTAAGGGTTTGTTGGGATGGATGGCTACCAAGGTCTCACTTCAGATCCCTTTCCTCCAAAGATCCCCTAGCCAAAGAGCTTCTGGCCATTAAGGAGGGGAACAGATAACAGCAGCTGAGTAGAAGCCTCCTATGATATAGTTAACAAATAACATAGGCAAAAAAGGGAGCAGTGTGGTATAGACAACAGGCATGCTTTACAGCTGAGTTGTGCCTTGCCACTTACTAGGCATGTAACCGTGGCCCAGTTCTGTTTTCCCATCTTTAAAATGGGCATAATAATACCAAATGTTGAACATGGCATGGAATAGATGTTCAGTAAATGTGAATTCCTTTTCTGCTTCTGTCCTTCTACATGCAAGTTTTGCCCCTTGCTGCCACACAACACACACACACACACACACACACACACACACACACACACATTAACATTTTATGTATGAGGACTTCATTGATTTCATCAAGTCCTAACATTAGAGATCCAGGAATACTATGGCCTAACTTCCAGCAACCAAAGTTCAGCAAAGAGTATAAAAGAAACATAGAGTTCAGAATTACAGCAAGTCACAGCAATTTTTTTGCTTGTTTGAAAGGAATCGGTCACGCTGTATAAATAGCTTTTTCAATTAATTTATCATGACCCTAGAAGAATTAGCAAAGGAGGAATTTTGGAAGTCATTATGGAGAAAAATGAGAAGAAAAGTTTAATGACTATGGTTTTATGTAAAGTAACAAAAACCCTGTTGGTAACTCATTAACCAACAACACCCAAATTCCATTCACTGGCAAACAACAAATTCTCTAAAGAAATATAAGGCATTTATCACTATCACTATTGTTTACCACCTCAGAGAAAATACCAGACAAGCAAGTGGCAGAGAGAAAATGATCACCAGGTAAGGACTCCTATATTCCTTTTTAAAATCTGTCTTTCACAGTCTCTCGTCATCCTCTTTATTTTTTTTTTCAAAAGCCCTATCTTTGTGTAGTCACAAATCACCCTGCAACCATGAAAACTGAATGTCCAAACTCTATCAACCTGGGGAAGTGTCTCCAGGAACTGACAGAATGAGAAATCAAAGGAGTCCTTTTGGCTAACTGGTACTCACTTTCTCCTTTAGAAGCTGTTACAGCAATGGTCCTCCAGCCTCTGGACAAGATGGCATCCAGACTGCCTGGGACGCTATCTTTAATGGTGAAGTCCCTGTCAAAGAACAGGCCTTTTTCACCTCTCTCTCCAAATTCTGATACCTTTTAACACACCCTCATTTTGTCCTTCTGTTTAGGAGGGAAATATGGGGAGTCTCAAAGGCCAGAGTCCTACCTCCTGTGGGCACAAAACATTTTTAATTGATTGTGGAAATGCCTCAAGTAGACAGCCATGGAATGAAAGACATTAGTCAATCCTCATGGCCCCTTAGCAATGTGACTGTGGAGGATCCATTTGCTTTTTTCAAAGGTTCTGTCTGAACACAACAGCCAAGGCATTAATTTATTTGGACTACTAGAGTATCATGACATGGCCTTCAAGTAATAATAACTACAACCAATACCTTCTGTATGCCTACTCTGTGCCAGGCACTCCAATAACAAAAATAGGTGTGTTACCTCATTAAAGTGTCCCAACAAACCCTGAGGAAAATATTATTTCTGCTTTTACAGATGGGATAATTGGAATAAAAAAGAAGTAATTCTTCCAAGGTCATAAGTAATTGGAAGAGCAAGATTCAATGTCAGATTTATTTTTCTTTAATGAAATGGCAGGTAGATTAAAATAGCGAATGGCAAACCAATGAAACATGATCAAAGGATACTGAAAATAAGTTCAGTAGGCAATAGGTAGCTACCTGTCCAGCCATTATGAGGACAAGTAAATGTTGGTCTTGGTCTGAGGAAGTGGGTTCTGGACTAAAGAAAAAAAAAATCTCTTTTTGTTGGTGGCAAAGATAATGCCAGTGACAACTAACTGATAATGTTTTATACTGCCTATATATATATATTTTTTTTTTCTTTCGGTCTCAAACAAAAATAAAGTTTGAGAATATTTTACAGCCAACTTATAATTAGAGCACTGTGGTAACATAGGGTCAAGTTTTGGTGATTTCAGGATATAATATAAAAAAAGAGAAATAATATATAAGCCAAATTAAAGGATCCCTAACTATAAAAATTAAAATTCCCATTAAACCTTACAGAAGGTAACTTTAGGCCTGAAATCAAATTCTCCATGTTGTTCCCTGCTGAGTAGAGTGTTAAGTAAACTTGTCATGATCCATTCATGTGAAAACAGCTCCAATGTCCCCACTACTAGTGAGAGAGCACACTTCCAACCACTCTGGAACCCCACCCTCTGAGAATGGGAATGCTGATAACTCAAATACTGAATGCACAAGGAAAACAGCTGATGCAAGGGCATTCTAGTTAACACAAAGATACGTATGAGAGCCTGAAGGCAGGGGGAGGGCTAGAAAGAAGGACTCCCTAGAAAAAGAAAGAGGCCTGCCCAAATAGTAAGGGAATCACCTACACAACCACATGTTCATTAATCCTTTCTTTCAACAAATAATTCCTGAGCTCCAATTATGTGCCAGGCAAGATTTCAGACAATAGAAATGCACAGCAGTAGGCAAGACAAAGCCCCTGACCTTGAGAAGAGAAAGAGCTATTTCTGTGCCATGACCAGGGAAGCCTTCAGAATCCTGAAGAACATGAGGGAATGAGCGGTCAGGGAGCATTCTAGGCAGAGAAGAGCACATCCAAAGTTTCCAAAGAGACCGAGTGTTTGGCACTCTCTAGGGTATCGCAGAAGCCAGTGTGGCTGGGTCAGGTGGGTTAGGATAAGAGGGAGAGAAAATGAGCAGTAGTCAGGAGCCAGTCTATAAAGAACATAGTAGGCCAGAGTTAGGACTGTGAGTGTTATTCTAGATGTGTCAGGAAATCATTGCAGAGTTTTGAGAATGGTAATATGGTGTGATTTAAAGTTTTAAAGATCACCCTGGCTACTGAGTGAAGAATAGACTATGGGGGATGTGAAGGAAGGAGACAAATTTGGAAGGCTTTGCTCATCTAGGAAGGATGATGGTCGCTTCAGCTGAGGCAGTCATAGTGAATGTGGTGAGAAGTGACCAGGTTCTG